ATAACTAACTTCAGATTTAAAATGTCAACCTCAATTTTGACATATTTGTAATCTTCATTAAAAATCCTTTAAAATAAGTACAAACACGACATATTTATCTTCAATATTAATGAAGTTATGGTCAACTTCCGGTTAGAAATGTCAAAGTCAATTTTGACATATTTGTAATTGTCGTGAATGATACATTTAATTCCAATGTTAGTCGAGATATAAGCAACTTCCAGTTTGAAATATGAATGTCATTTTGACAAATTCTTAATTTTGCTATATTTTTATTACACCGTTTAATTGTAAGTAGAAAAATAGGTTGACTTTGATAAAAGTTATTGGTACCTAACCTTTTTCGTTTTCGAGTTATTTTGGATTACTCTTCAGATGCTGTCAAATAGATTGTCATTTGTTGTACATCTTATACAGAATGGTCAAAAATTGAATTACTGTTTCTCCATATTCAATGGCGAGAAAGTCGAAAATTTTAAATGGATGGCCCCATATATTTTTAGCCTGTCAGAAAAGGAATTTAACACTCTACAAATTATCTATAAACATTCCTCTAAGACGCCCGGCTAAACATAAAACTTTCTAGTTCTAGGTCTAATGTTAGTTCTAGTTTTGTTATTTAACCCTAAATTCTTGTACATTTTAATTTATCTAAAAAAAATTTTTTTTTCATTTAATCCACTTACCTTGCTTATAATTTCATCCATTTACCCATTTTGAATTAAATACAACCTTTAAATCCAATTCATTATGTGTTTTTCATTAAAAAAACTTAAATTCAACGTCAACTTTGACAAGAAACTGCAATATTTGGATCTTAATCACCATGGTAACTGAGTCAAGTTGGATAACCTAACAATAATAAAATTATAACTGTTAATATTTCGCTTTATATTTTAATACTTTTTTAATTTAATTTTATCTTTTTTTTATATTACTTCTTAAATGAAATATATAAATAAAAATATAGAAATGTCAATTCTTCCAATGACGTCAAATTTTTCAAAATCTGGCTAGCTAGGCAACCAATCAACCATCACTAGTAATAATTATATTAATTATTAACTTATTTATTTTTAAAAAATTTGAACTTTAAATTACAATAAATTTATTAATTAAATACACAACCACATAAATTGAAATAAAAAAGTGTTTTAAAAATAACTTTGTCATTTCATTATCAGAACGCTCCCCAAAGAAGCAAATTGACATTTGACATTTAATATTCTCATTGATCGAAAAATAAATAATGTTCTAATCTAAAAAATCGTGATTCTTCTTTAATTTGAGTGAATTAAAGAAGATGTGCGGGGGTTTTACTTGCTCGAAGAACGCTTTGATAGCGTTAAACGCTTTGTATTTGGTAAGGTTTATTCCATCTAAAAATTTTTTATGATAAAGTCGACATTTTACGTCATGTTTTCTAGTATAAATAAAAATCTTTGTAGGTTGTAGCTTCAGTTTTGATTAGCGTAGCTGTTTATGGTCGGGCGGCTTCAATCGTAACTAATCTACCCATAATCGGTGGAATATTGGCATGTGGAATCATACTGATCATAATTTCGTTATTGGGGCTGGTCGGGGCTGTAAAACATCATCAAGTTATGCTGTTCTTTGTATCCTTATGTGTAAAATTGATTCGTTGTAGGATTATTTTTCTTAATTTTGATTTAGTACATGTTAATTTTATTCATGTTATTTTTGATCCAATTCTCTGTGGCTTGTGCTTGTCTTGGGGTAAACATGCAGCAACAAGAACAACTTGCTGAACAAGGTTGGGGGAGGGTTAATAACGAAACGAAAGCTGAAGTTCAAAGGGTTTTTACATGTTGTGGGTTTAGCGATCGATTTTCACAGGCTGATAAAAAGATGGGGTATCCAGATTGCGATAAAATAAAAGTAAATTATCGATTTTTCTTTAATTTGTATTAATTATTAATTAATTTTGATTTTAAGGAAAAATGTTGTGGAAAGCTTCAAGTTGATCCGAATTGTACATGTTATTGTATTGATAAATTACAAAATACCATTGATTATGCTTTTAAATTATGTGGATGGGTTGGACTTTTCTTTAGTTTCACTGAGGTAAGTTAAATTAATGAAAATTAAGGAAAAATTCAAGAATCATCATGTGGCTTAAAAATCACAATTAAGTTTCGATCTGACGTCACATTTTGTGACGTCACAAACCATGCATTTTCCTACAAACTGTTTATTTTAAAAAAAATATAAATCAATCTGATGAACTTAAAAATAAAGTTATTTTCACTAAACTAGGTGAAATTAACGTATATTTTCGGTAATTTATCTTGCACGCATGCGCAAATGACGCGTTTTTTTTGGTTTTCTTTAATTTGCAGATTTGGTCATATACAGGGTGTCTCACGTAACTGGTTCGTTAGAACTTTTTCAGGTTCCATTATTCGTAGAGATTTGAAATTTTGGTCGGAACTTTCGATCTAAAATATTTTCAAGATGGCCGCCACTTCCGGTCTACCGGAAGTAGACCATAATTTCGCTATTTTAAATGGAATGTTATAGTTTTTATTACACAATTTAATTGTACGTAAAAAAATAGGTTGACTTTGATAAATGTTATTGGTACCTAGCGTTTTTCGTTTTCGAGTTATCTTGGTTTTAAACTTTTTTTGGTAAATTTCAACATGCTCTTTAAAACTCCATATCTCAGCCAAAGTTCATTCAAAAAAGATCTACTTTGGCACGATTACTCTTCAGATGTTGTCAAATAGATTGTCATTTGTTGTATCGGAGTATCTTATACAGGATGGTCAAAAATTGAATTACTGTTTCTCCATATTCAATGGCGAGAAAGTCGAAAATTTTAAATGGAACGCCCCATATTTTTTTAGCCTATGTGCATAAGGATTACCTCGCCG